AGAGAGAGAGAGAGAGAGAGAGAGAGAGAGAGAGATACAGGTGTACCTGTGTACATGGCATGGGCCAGACCATTACTTGGTATAGGCCTTTATAAATCTCACTGAAGGTACTAGAGTTACACCAGCTGAGGATTACAAAATCTTAGAATCATAAAAAGTAGAATTTGAAGGGACTTCAATCTAGGTCAATACAGCAGTGAAATGCCAACTCATGAAAGTCCCCATCCCATGTAGGGAGAGGTACTCTCTCCCTTCAGGCTTACCTTCTCCTGTTGGAACACAGCAAACCTGGAAACATGATAAGTCACTCCCTGAGTTGTATTTCCCCCCTATCCAGTGACTACGCTCAAGCACTCAGAGGATATGTCAATTTAGGGCTGGTCTATAGAGGGGAATTTACCAGAAGAGCTATTCTAATCCACTTGCCTGTGTAGACAAGTCCGTCTGATGATGCAGGCTGTCACCTATGAAAGCTTATGCATCTCTGAACCAGTTAGACTCTAAGGTTATGTCCACATGAGTGGGAATTTGTGTTTCCCTGGGGACAAGTAGCCGTGGCACAAAGTGTGCCACGGCTACTTGTCCCTGGAGAATGCCTGTGCCATGAGTGCTCTGGTGTGTGGCAGGTTACCCCAGGTGGGGTAGAGGAGCCTGGGGCCAACAATTGTGCTGGAGCATGACTCTGGCTGGCCAGGCACTGGTTTTGGGTGGCGCACACTACTGCCACATATGCCACCCCACTTTTTTTCAGCTTGGGTTTTTTTGACCCTGGGATTTTCAACCCCCCACCACGTGCTGCAAGATAGCAGTGCAGGGAATGCCTTCATGTGTGGTGTATGGCACTGCAGACAGGTCACCTATCTGTGGCACCACATACCGCACATCCAGGCTTGTCTGAACATGGCCTAAGATGCTGACCTGCTCTGCCTTACACAATTAGTAAAAGTGGGTGGAAATGAGATTCAATTCTATTCTCATTTTCCTGTGGTGAGAGACAGTCCTTCTCCTCCATAACTAACAGTTTGAAAAGACAAGACAGGCAAAGGGAGTGAGAGAAAGGAGAGGTATGGAAAATGGAAAGGATTTCCCCAAGGTCAGTGGCAGAATCAAGAATGGCGCCACAATCACTTGACACCCTGTCCAATGCTGACACTACTGTTAGGTATTATCACATCAATATTATTGTTTTGCAACACACACTGAGAAATCCAATATCTTAATGGATGTTTTTTATCTTTTTTTCTTTAGCCTTTTTTCTAGGATGTTTTTTAGCCTTTTTTCTTTTTGCTTCACCTATGGTAAATTTAAAATAGTTTCCCTTCTCTCAACTTCGGGAGAAGAGTTACCTAACAAGTCAGTTTGCCAAACTTATTTTCGTGGGGAAGGAGTAGTAATTATTGGATATTGTATAGAAATCATGTCATCAAAGGCACTGCTCTGCCAAAGCGAATGGCTCTGCCATTCACTTGTGTTTGTATTCCATTAGTAAGAAGCATGAATCTGTGGCTTTAAAGTGTATAAACAAACAGGTTCAGTACAGATTCAGTACCTCAAGATACCTAAGTGAATGAACTGAAGGTTTTTTGCATAAACCCAGATAACGGTGATTCTCAACCAGGGTGCTGTGGTACCCTGGGGTGCTTTTAGATTCTTTCAAGGGTGTCAAAGAGTGCCACAGTGTTAGCACTGCTATGTATATAAATATGATTCATAAGATA